TCATGATCCCAGTCCGACTGTAAGGAAAACATTCACCTCTCCTCTGCTGCTGCTTTGGGATTTCAAAGCTACATGTTAATCTGTTATCTTTAGTCAGTAATAGTTGATCCTTGTCACACACCAAATCGGAAGGCTGAGGACGCTCGTGGCAGCCAAAAAAGAAAGGCTACTCGACCGCAGCAGGTTACCGATGTTGTGCACGTTGATGTAGATGATAAGGTAAATACCTCGCTATGAGTTGAGATCTGATGCTTCGGAGATTGATTTTTGAAGTGGACTAGAATTAATTTCAGCTTTTCAATTCCTTGAAGTGCGAACCGCCGTGCAAACTCGCTGCTAACAACAAAGAACTGGAGCAGCCGTCTCCTACCGTATCTGACTCGCACACTAGTGGAACAAGCAGTCAAGCTGGGGACACACCCGCGAAATGCTTCGATTGTCAGGTGCGCATTTTGCACCACAAACTTGCTAAATCCTTATTTTAAAAGATAAGGACAATTTTTGAACAGACTTTTAAGGTCGTGAAGGAGAAGCTGAACGTTTCGCAATCTAAAATGTTGGAATATGAGCAGAAGATTAACCATCTCGAGGCGAAGATCGTCGAGCTGCAACGAACTGCCAGTGAAAGAAATCACAACAATAATCAAAGTGAAAACTTCCACGCAGAAGGCAATTCCGATCAGCTACAGGTCGCTGTGAGTTCGAGTTTCATTGTGTCAGTTCAAGCAGAAAGAAAGAGAACGGCAGCGAGAGAGTACAGTACACCTAATTGTGCCCTTTGTCAAAGCAGTTTCTCGCTCTCTCATCTCATCAAGTCAAGATTAGGAAGAAGTACTGTTGTACACGTAGGCGGCTAATTTCAGTGAACTATTGCAAGAAATGATTTGTCACTGACCATGCACGATGGTTCGTAAAGGAAATCACTTTTGCGCTTCCAGGATACAAAACTCAACTAATTCTTAGTGAGAGTGTAGAAGATTGTAATTGCTACTTAGACTGGCTGTGTCATTGATTCTCACCTACTA